TCAAGGACGAGAGATGCATGGGACACAGCAGCCGCACTGGGGGCCAGGCCTCTGCCAGGACAGGCATCGTGGTCGGAGGATGAGAGCAGGTGGGCTGCTGCAGAGAAACCTAGGTCACATGTGGGACCCTGGCACCAGCTCTCAGGGAACTTGGGGGGGCCCCACACCCCTTGCTCCTAAACGTGATGCCTGCAGTGGCTGGGATACTTGTGTGGAGCTCTGGCTCTACTTCCGCACTGCAGCCTCCCAGTCGCCTGCCCAAGCTTGTCGTGCCCAGTGCACCCAGTTTTGCTCCATCTGAGATGCGTTTCCCCTCAGCTGGGTGCCCATGAAATGGCCATGGCAACTTCTGTGTCACGGTGTAGTCCCCAGTGGTGTTTCTGTCCCTTAGTACACATGGCTGTCTGCATTTTGACAGGTGCACGGCTTCCTCCTTGGGGCACTGAGTGAGGATCCTGCCCAGGTCCGGGACGCCTAGCCCCGGACAATAGGGAGACCGGGACTAGGACCACATTTGGGGGCAGCGCCCCCAGAGCAGGGATGTCCCGAAGCTTCAGTGGCCTTGCTGATGCCCTTGTCACATGAGGTGACTTTGACAGCCATCAGGAGGCACAGGACAAAGCAGGCTAAGTCGCTGGGTAACGGGTGGGGGTGGTGAGGTGTGCGCCCCAGTCCTCGGCTGGATGTGCATCTGCTGAGCTGAGCAGCACAGGCTGCCCTGGGGACAGGTGACTGACCAGTCACTGCCGGGGCCCTGTGTGCAACCCCAGACCCTGGCAGCTGCTGACCTGCTCCCCATCCTTGCCTGTCATCTCGGGGAGCGGGCTGCTCACTCGGGCCCCCAGCAAATCTCGAATCTGAGCTCCTGAGCCGTGAGGAGGAGGCTGGGGTGGGGGGCACACGGTGAGTAGTGCTGGGACCTCTGTGTATGGCCCAGAGCTGTAGGGGCTCCTCTCCCACTTTCACACATGGTGGCGCACGGTGGTGGCTCCAGTGCCCAGCGTGTGCCTGCCTTTGTGAGGACCTACTTGCTCCCCCCACAGGCTCAGCCTTCTGCCCCACCATAGGGGTTCCCTGTCCCCTGCTCTGTGTCTGCCCCAACCACTGTGTGGGTGGGCTTGGGTCCAATTATCCCCACACCCTGCGACTTCTCCATGGGTGTCTGTTCACTTGTCTCAAAGTGGTAATTAGGTGGCACATCTTCTGTTTTCTTTCAGTACTAGGACTCGAACTCAGGACCTTTGCCCCAGGTGGCAGCCCCAGCTCTTCTGCACACACGGGTGTGTTGTTTGGAAGACAGGAGACTCACTAAGAAGCCCATGTAGAACTCAAATGAGCTACCTTCCTGCCTCGGCCTCCTTGGCTGAGGTGACAGGCCTCCCCCTCCCTTTCTCTCTTTTCAATACTGGAAGCTGAACCCAGGGCCTTTTCACTGAGCACGGCCACCCTTTTCTGATTTTTTCATTTGCAGACAAGGTCTGGTGGAGTTACTAAGTTGCCAGGGCTGGGCTTACTTGTGATCCTCCTGCTTCAGCTTCTCAGAGTGCTGGGATGACCGGTGTAACATTTTAGAGCCTTTGCTTTGGGGTGCACATCCACATCTAAGCTTGACCCTTTCTCCCAAGAGTGCGTGCTTTGCGTGGAGGCCAGGCCCCTTTTCCCGGGCCATGCCCTTGTGCAGGTCTCCCTGAGCCTCTGCCACACTGTTGCTGTGTCTGGCATCTGGTTCTGATCACTACGGCTCCATGGGAACCTTAGCATCCGAGTGCCCTGGCCAGTGGTGTCCTGCTAACCTGGGCTCGTGCCATGTTCCTGCCTGTGGTTAGGGACAAGACGCTCCTTTGTGACTGCATTGGCAGGGACAGCAGGCTCCACTGTGGAGCCAGCGACCCCTTCCTGTCCCTCAGGGAGGCTGCCACCCTCTGCAGCTACTCCCGCAGTGTGAGGCCATGGGTGGGGGCTGCCCCGCAATGCTACCTGGCTGGGACCTGGGACTCTCCTGCACTGGAGCAGCTTCGGGCTCCTGACTGGGGCCTCCTGCTTTCCCCAGCTGTGCTCTGAGAGGGTCCAGAGCTCCGCAGTGCTCCAGCTGGGGACCAGGAGCAGAGGTCAGGGATGAGCCTGGTCCGTCCCGCCTGTCCTGTCCATACCTGCACCTCACGTCCTTCCAGAGCCTGCTGTGTGCTGTGCACCCCTTCTCCCATGGAGCTGCACCTTGACTTCTTTTTTCAAACATGTTTTTATTGCACAGCACAGAATGACTTCAAACCTGTTTCCATCCAGCAGTAAAGGGCGTGTAGCTGTCCCCACCCTCACCATCAACTCCCCTGAGGCGGTCCCTCTCCCCAGCCCCGTACCGCTTTTCCCTTCTCTCTAGTTTGATGGCCCCAGGAGCCCCCAAGGTGGAGTCTGCAAGGTTTGCCCCCTGCATCAGGCTGGCTGGCTTGCTCAGTTCAGTGTCTCAGGTTCGAGTCCTTCTCGAGTGTTTGCCTACAGCATCTACCACCTAGGTGGGCCCTGAAGGCCCAGCATCCTCCCTGCTGGGTCCCCAGGTCAGGAGCCCTGAGGGTCCATCTTCTGTCCCCTGACTCTGGTTTTCATTGTGTTCGCCTGTGATCTCTATAGTGGGTGCCCTGTGTGCCTCTATGAGCCACAGCTGGACCTTCCACGATGTAAGGCTGACCCCACTTTGTGGATGGTGGCTGCCACCTTTGCTCTGTGAGCTGCCCTCCCTGCCTGATGTCCTGGGAGCTGAGTCTCATGGATGGGGCTGCTGACAGCAGGTGGCCCGGGGCGACCGGAGGCTGTGGGGATCCAGGGGGCACCTCATTGTGACTGTGGGGTTGCTTGCCACCTTGTGGACCAGGGCCAGCCTGTCTTATGCCTGTCCTTGGGCGTCACATCCATGGGAGCCGCTGCCTGCTCTGGCAGCCCCTGGCGGGCGGTTTGGGGGCCCAGGAGAGCTGGGAGCTGGCTGCAGAGTTGGGAGCACCTCTCAGCTGAGCAGCTTTGCCCTGCCCGGGGTATTTTTAGCTGCAGCACCCAGCACTCGGCAAGGCAGAAATAGCCGAGGCTTTTTCAGGTTCTGATGCTGACGGTTTCTGCTCTCCGGGAGCTGGGCTGGGCTGTGGTGGGGGTACACGTGGAGCGCAAACAACTTCTGCTGTTGGGAAAAACATCTCGCGCCGAGGTGGTTGTGGATGGGGAATTATTTCTGTTGGTGAACACTCTTTATGTAAATGCCACGGCGCCTGTGTAATCACAGCAGGCTGGGGGCGGGGGGCGTAATTATGTTTAAAATATCATCTGATCAGATTGTTTTCTGTGTTCCCCGAGTCCAGTAATTCCAGGCTTTAAAGGCCCCCTCCTCTGTGGCTCTGCCCCCCACTCTTCCCCCGTCCTTCATTTGTCCTGTAGCCACCACCTCCTGGCCTCTGTCTGCACCTGGGATTCGGAGCGACCTCCCGCCCAAGCCCAGCAGCACCCGTTGAAGGTCATAGCTGCACTGCTGCTGTCTGCCGCTGCGGATGCCCCCCACCCCCTGAGCAGTCTGGGCTCAAAGGCTGGAGGGTCCCTGGAGACTGGGGGTCCTGGAGCTGTGACTCCCTGGGGCTGGGCTTGTGTGAGGTGCCTCATGATCCAGATGTTGGCCCTCCAGTCTCACTCTGGTATCTGCCCCCTGGGGACCCTGTTCCGCCACAGCAGCCCCCTGAGCTATCCAGAGCCTTCCTAAGGTGAGGCCCACTGGACTCGGAGCTGCAGGATCCCTGGGTTCTGGGGGTCCAAGTACCTACCATATCCTGTAAGCTGGTCCCACCCTCCCTGGGCAGGACCTGCACCTGGGTGACCCAACGACCTTCCCCAGCCTGGGGACTCTGGAACCTCAAGTGGCATTGTGCCCCATGTGTATGTGTGGGGGTGCCATGTGGGCACCCCAAGCCTTAGGGTCAGCAGTGCCCGCCTGGTGGCTGTAGTGGCTGTGGTAGCTGTGAGAGCAGGGTGTGGGGCTGCTGCCCCTGTGTGTCTGGGGAATACAAGAGAGATGTGCGTGCCGGTGGGGACCCAAGGGCCCCATACTGGCTATGGCAGCCTGCTGGGGACCCAGCCAGAATGGGTTGGTCAGGTTCAGGGGCTGCAGCACATCCAGGCCCCCAGCCAGGCAGTGCAGAGCACAGCATGCAGAGCGGAGGTGGGGGTCTCTGTGCCCATCCAGTCCAGTCCAGGTGCATCTAGGATGTCGGTAAGAGCAGGAGGCTGGGGTCACCCATGGTGCCCTCCCTGCTGGGCTCTGCTGTTGACAAATATTTACAGAGCGGTTTCCATGCTAGGCCACCCTGGGCCCAGAGTTGTGTCCTCCTCTGGCTGAGGTCCCATCCCTTACCTGGAGCTGCCCTGCCTTTCGGGAGCTAGGTAACCTGGCTCCCAGGTGGCAGTGCCAGCCCCACCTGGCCCACCCCACCCAGCCTGCCACCTCCACTCTCAAGGCAGTTTCCCAGCAGCAGAGCCATGGCTCTGCCTGTCCTGGGGACCCCCTTTCCCTGTCTCCGGCCACCATGCCACCCACCTGGCTGTTGCACCTCCTGTTCCTGGCTCCTGCCACTCTCAGCAGTATGCTGCTGGGCCTCGGTGGGTGCCCTCACTGCCACCTGCTGTGCGATAGGACAAGGCCAGCGGGGGACGTGGACAGGGTGATTTGAGAGGCTACCATGCTACCATAGAGCGGGCCTGTCCTGGGCCTCAGGAGCATTACAGAGCAGGGTGTTTTGATGCATGCCTACAGTCTCAGCACTCTGGGAGGCTGAAGCAGGAGGGTCATAGGCTTGAGCTAAGTCACTGGCTTAGCAAGACCCTATCTCAAAAGATTTCTAAAAAGGGCTGGAGGTGTGGCTCAGTGTGAGGGCCCTGGGTTCAATCTTCCTGCTGCAAATAAAAGAAAACGAAAATACATGATTATGGCGGGCAGGGATGGGTGGCCCCTAACGCTTGGTCATGTGCTGCAGTGCAAGAGAAGCCAGAGCCAGTGCCTCTGGAGAGTCGCTCCTGCGTCCTCATCCGCCGTGACCTCGTAGCGCTGCCCGCCAGCCTCATCAGCCAGATTGGCTACCGCTGCCACCCCAAGCTCTACTCCGAGGGCGACCCTGGGGAGAAACTGGAGCTGGTGGCAGGTGAGTCCCGCCCTGTGTTTACGAAGACATAATGTAGAGAGAGGCCCCAAACTTGTCTTCTCAGAGGGTGGCAGGTATGGCCTCAGGCTGCAGTTCCCTGCCCAGTGTCCTTCTGTGAGAACAGTGACACCGTCACCCACAAGCCCACTTGCGCCGGTGCCTGGGCGAAAATACTTGTTTCTCTAGCCCCACAGCACTCTGTAAATTTTTAATCAAAGTTTATGGCACTGCCGGCCCACGGGGCTGTTTCGTCCCATGGTTTGTGAAGAAAGGTCCACATGTAGGCAGGGTACCCAGGGCACAGCCTCAAGCACTGGGGTCCTACCTTGGGCACCCTGGCCGCCTGCCCTGGGGAGCTGCACCCACGCACCCAAGGTCCACTGCTGTGAGCCTCAGAGGTCCTGAGCCCCGCCCCTGCTGGTTGTGGCTGCTCTAGGCCAGGGAACAGGGGTCCTCAGGTGCCTCAGGGGCCCTGGAAGCCATGCCCTTGGCTGCAGCGTTAGGTGACAGAGCCAGCCCTGAGGCCTGCAGGCCGGGCATCTCCAGAGGATAGCAGGCCCCCAGAGGAAGGACATGACTGCCCTGCTTTCCCAGACAGTCGATCCTCACGCCCTCAGATCCAAGAAAGATCCAGACAGGTCAGGGAAGGTTCCAGCAGTGCCAAGGCTCGGGTGACCCTGGAGGTTTCTCCCTGGTCTTTCCAGAGCTCCTGCTCTTCCTGGCGAGTCCAGTCCCATCACCCTGCCCCTCGTCTGCCCACCCTCTGGTGACGTGCCCAAGGCAGAGCTGGGTCTCTGCAGGCTCAGTGGCACTGCATGGTCTCTGTGTCACTCTGCCTGGGACAGGGTCTCCTCTGGACATGGCCAGGGGTGGTCAGTGGTGGGGTGGACCCTGGGCCCTGCCATCATGTACCTCACTCCTCCAAGGCTCTGTGGAATCTGCAAAGAAGGTAGGAGCTTGGGACACACATGAAAGGTAGGAACCCCAGGTGCAGGCAGGGACCATCAGGCTGGGTGAGACTGCTGGTCACAGTGGGACCCTGCACGCCAGGTGTTGGGCCCAGGGACTCACGTTGCTGTTTGCCGGCTGCAGGCTCTGGGGTCTACATCACCCGCGGCCAGCTCATGAATTGCCACCTCTGTGCGGGGGTGAAGCACAAGGTCCTGCTGCGGAGGCTCCTGGCCACCTTCTTTGACAGGTAGGTGGGGGTTAGGCTGATACAGGCTGCTCCCGAGGGCTGTCGGGCTCTGCTCTCCCAACCTTTCCACGCAGCCTGTTGGTGCAAGGATTGAAGGGCCGCTCCAGGGAGGTGACCTGGTCTGGGGAGGGCCAGCTCACTGAGTCAATGCAGCCTCTGCCTGTCGATGGAGCTGGCTCAGGCGTCGAGGCCCCTTAGATGGGGCTCCAGATGGCCGGGTCAGCATCTTAGCCCTGTGCTGGAGAGCGGGGACCCTGTCCAGAGCCGTGGAGGGCAGCTGCCTGTTCCCTGCTGTGGTCCTGACTCAATGGGCCCTTGGGGCAGTCCGGCTCTGGGTCACACAGCCCCTGGTGTCACTGTGCTCTGTCCTCTGCGCCCCACAGGAACACGCTGGCTAACAGCTGTGGCACTGGCATTCGCTCATCCACCAGCGACCCGAGCCGCAAGCCGCTGGACAGCCGCGTCCTGAACGCTGTGAAACGTGAGTGGCCAGGGTCCTGGGTATGGGGGTCTCGGGAGCCCCTGGGGGTTCAGATTCTGGCTGGAGGAAGGTGTGAGGGGGTCCCCAGGTCAGCCCCGGTAGCAGAGAGGAAAAGAACATCGCCCAGCCGGTCTCTGGTGCTCACGTCCTTGGTAGGATTCCAAGTGTGATGAATTCAGCTGCGAAACTATTTTAATATGTGAAATAGATCTAATTTTCCTTTTTGAACAAAACCCCTTATTTACATGTTGAGGTTATTTTGAGTCTTTGCCATCTGCTCGGCCGGCTCCTGTCTCCCACTCCAGGGTGGGTGGTGGGGCCCAGTCTGTCTCAGTGGTCACCGCCATCCTCAGCTCCACGGCCCTGTAGCGGACAGAGCCACCACTGCCCACTCTCCAGGGTGGCCTGGCCGAGCACATCTGCACAAAAGACACCCTTATTTTCTCGTTTTAAAAAGATCCCTGGTAAGGCCAATCCTGTTTGTAGCAGAGGGGCCCTTGACAGTCCGTAATTACAGGCGCATGGCACAGGGTGACAACGGGCCAGGAAGATGTGGGATGAGAGGTGTGTGGATGCTACTAGAGAGGCTACTGGGGTGGTGGCTGCTCCTGGTGCAGTGGTGACAGGGGACCTGGACCCAGCCTCTGTCCCTGGGGAGAAAGGAGGGTTTTTAAATTGGTGGCTTTGCCTGCCACCTCCTGCTCCCCAGACCTGGGACAAGCTGACTCCTCTTCATTCTCCCCTCAAGGGGACTCTCCGGTCAGCTCATGGGGCAGGGTGGAAGGCCCAGAGACCCCCAAAGCTCAGGGAAGGGTCCCTGGGGCTGAGCAGTGGGGATCAGGAGCACCCTAGAGGGAGGCCCTGTAGACCCTAAAGGCAGTGGGTAGACCCCAGAGGCAGCGGGACGGAGACGGCACAGACCCCTGGGCTGCCCATCCTGTCCCGTCCTGTGAGGCTCACCAGGGCCCCTGCCCCTGCCGCACCCTGCAGTGTACTGTCAGAACTTCGCCCCCAGCTTCAAGGAGAGCGAGATGAATGTGATCGCTGCGGACATGTGCACCAATGCCCGCCGTGTCCGCAAGCGCTGGCTGCCCAAGATCAAGTCCATGCTGCCCGAGGGTGTGGAGATGTACCGTACCGTCATGGGCGCCCCGGCCACCAGCCTGCCTCTCGACCCCGAGTTCCCACCTGCCGCCGCACAGGTGTTTGAGCAGCGCCTCTTCACGGAGCGGCGGAGTGACGCAGCCACCATCGTGGCCCTGAGAACTGATGCGGTGAGCGTGGATCTGAGCGCCGCTGCCAACCCTGCCTTTGACGCCAGCGAGGAAGCCAACGGAGCTGGGTCGGTCATCCAGGAGGTGGCCGCCCCCGAGCCGCTGGCCACTGATGGCCAGAGCCCCTCGCAGCCCTTTGAGCAGGGCAGCGCCAGCTCCAGCAGGCCCCAGACACCGGCCAGCACCCCCGCCAGCAGGAGGCCCGAGGGTGCCTACGCGGGGACTTTGTAAGAGGGCGCCTGGCCCTGAGGACAAGTACTAAGCTGCTTGCATGCATTACTAATACAAACAAATGTGATCAAGCCACTTACCTACTGAACTGCTACTGCTGCCTGACAAAAATGTGATTTTATTCTGCCTGTATTTAAAACGGATGAAGGAAAATGCACTATACTGTAAACAGCTAGGCTGTCACCACTGGCCACCGCGCCGGGAGCACGAGCTGGGGCTCCCTCCTGCCCAGGGTGGTCAGGAGGCCTCCTGCCCTTGCCTGGCCCTGCTCCACCTCACCCAAGCTTCCTGCTCTGCCTGACCCGGAAGAGGAGGGGACAGCAACTGGAGCTGCGGTGACACTCCATTTCTTAGCGTGGGGCAGCGCAGGGTCTCCAGGGCCAAATCCTCTTTTCCTTCTTCCTGAGATGCCATCTGCGTGGATGAGCGTGCATGTGTGTGTGAGTGTGTGCACGCGTGTGTGCGTGTATGTGGGCATGGACCAGTGATGGCACAGGGTGGAGGAAGGACAGCGTGTTCTCCCCACAGCAGCGTCCTTGCTCCGCCCCAGCCCTCTGTGCTGCAGCCCTTCAGCACCCCCGGAGGCCCCACTTGCCCACAGCTCCCCACCCAGGCCACTGAGGGTCCTGCACAGCTGCGGCCCCCCTCTGACGCCCCAGCCACTCTGGGATTTTGCTTGTTTGGTGTTTTTGTTTGGTTCAGATCTATTTCATATATGATTTGGAAACTATTAGACCCAACAGAGCAAAAAACTGGGGAGGGGCTGATGTCCCATCCCCAGCCTACCACAGGTCAGGGGCAAGTGCAAACCCCTCCTTGGGCCAGGCCTGCTCACCTCCCCCTGGAGGCCAAGGGGCTCCAGGGTATGCATCTGGGATTCACACAGGCTAAGCTCAAGGGCTGGAGTCCCTATGGGGCAGCACCCTTGGTGATATTGGACCCATTGTGCCACCTTTGTGGTGCCCGGGGCTACAGAGGCCAGGCAGCAGGCTCAGGCCTTGGTTGGGGCAGTGGGGGTACAGGAGGAGGTCCCATGGGGGCCTCCAGCCAGCTTGAAGCCGGAGTGCTTACTGTGAATCAGAAGCTTAGTTTGCACGCAGCGAGGGGCAGGGGATGGAGTGTGCTCCTGGGCACCTGCCCCAGTGTCCCTTCTTGAGCCCTTGCCTGAGGACTCTCTGCCTGCAGAGCCCAGCAGAGCTCCTGGTATGGCCAGGGACGACCCCCTTCCAAGAACTGATGGATCTGCTGTTTCCTGTTCCTCCTTCCACCCTGAGCTTGCTCCTGGTGCCCCCTCCTATGTGTACAGTTGGGGGCTGGGTTTCAGTCTGCAGCAAGGGCCGGGGTGTGGTTTAGGCCCCCCACTTAGCTCCCCATTGCTGTGGGCACTGCCCTCCCCAGTGGAGAGACCTGGGGAGGCTGGGACTGCTCCCCAGAAAGCTCTGGTGGCTTTGGAGGGAGTAGGGGCTATGGGCAGTGACTAGGGATGTACTAGAAAGAGACCTGGCCTCCCTGCTGCCCTTGGGGCCCAAGCCTAGGGAGACGCGAGGAGCCTGCATTCCTGGGGTGGTGGGTGATGCAGAAACTCACAGTTCCTGCCCAGGCCTGGAGCCCCAGCCCAGGGCTGCCCCTTCCCATCTGGAACACAGCTGGGTTGGAGTCCCCAGGGCCTCTGGGGACCTGGACTGCACCTTGCCCATGCTGGAGGGACCTGGGGTGGCAGAGGAGATGGCGGTTGAGGGCCAGCTGCACCCCGGCCCTCTGGAGTTTTCCTTCATCTGCCCCCAGCTCCCACCTGAATGTGCACTTTAATTTGACCATCCCTGGGGACTTTTGGGAGAGGGGGCCATCTGTTCCTGCTGTTGACAGGAGGGCTCTGTCCCCGCCTCCACTCCGCAGTGGACATGGCCACACCCTGGGCCAGCACAGGGAGGGTGCCCGCTGCTCGGGCTAGCACAATGTCCCGGCAACCCCGTCCCTCAGCCGATTATAATCGCCGTCTGTTTTGTTGTTCTGGGTAAGGAAGGCAGGAACTATAAGTGAAACTAAGTAATAGTACTTCAATGTGAATGGGTTCTGGGCTCTCCCTGCGCCCTGGGCGGGCCAGGCCAAGCGTTTTGCACTAATGTGTCCCGTGTGGACATGGTGGGAGCGTTCACAGACGTGCATGGCCAATGATTGTACCTGCCGGGTGCCCCCTCCACAGCCTGAATGTACCGCGGGGCGGCAGGCAGGCAGGTGGGCAGCGAGCAGCAGGCCTGGGCTCGGGGGCCTTCCAGAGTGCCTTAGCATCTTTTGATCATTTTTCCCAAGGGAAACCAATTAAGAACCCCAGACCTTCCCCCCTCCTTTGTTTACAAGATGACTAATTCCAGAATCGGGCGTCCTGTCCCACCAGTGTGACCCAACTCACCCAGACCCTGTAGGCAAGAGGCGAGCCACTCAGTATTCAGAGATGCCTGCACCCCTGTTCCTAAGCTTGACTACTAGCAATACGCATAAACATATAGAGTCTATTATAGAGCTAAGTTATATTGGCGCCTTTCCGGGAGGACAGTTGGACTGACTGAGTTGGAGCTGCTGAGGCGGGTGCCGGCCTGGGGTCCAGCCACGGTCCCGCCTTCCCTTCCCCTCCCTCCCAGAGGGGTGGCCCAGGAGGCAGCTGGGACAAGTGCAAAAGGTCCAGAGGAAGGGACCAGAGACGGGACAGATACTGTGAGCTCCGTGGGGCCGTCTGCCTGCCTGGCTGGCGCGCCTCGGTACTTGAATTCTGTTGTTTCCTGCTCCGGGTCTGCGGACCCATGTTCTTCGTGATTGCTTCAGTTTGCATCTGACTTGGTGTCTCACGTTGCCCCTGAATGTGGATGCAGCTGTTCGAGGCAGCGGCAGGGCTTCACTCAGGTGTGCCACACTGGGTGGCTGCTGGGTGGGGGGCCGGGGAGACAGGCTGGGTGGTCCTGCCCTTCCTCCCTGCCAGCTCTCCACAGTGTTTGTGTGTAGAGTCAGCGGACCGGCAGACCTGAAAGCAGTTGGCTGTTGCGGTCGGGCATCCCCTGGAGGGGACTTTGGTGTGGCTGAGGTTACTCACTTAGCAGCTGGCACTGCAAGCCCCGCCCTGCCGTGTCCTGTCGGGTCCCTTCCCACGCAGGTCTCTGTGGGAGTGGGCAGGGCCGCTAGCTCTCAGAAGACGCCTGTCTGCCGTCCTCTGCCGTTGGGAGCGCGCGGCCGCCTCACTTTACCGCTTCAGTGGCACCGCAGCGGCTCAGCCGTGGGGCCGGCTCTGAGGTGCGGGCGTGCACCTCCAGATGGTTTTCAAATGGCAAAGGTGTTTTGCTTTTATTTGTTTCGTTTTGTTTTGTTCTGTTGAGTAAAGAAAAGAAATGGGAGCTGATGTAGGATCTAAAGCCTTCAATTGGACAGCCTGCCTGTGTTCTGATCAGTTGCCTCCTCCGTTAGTATTTTGCACACGATTGTGATTTTTATGTCAGAAGAAGCCAAAACTTGCAATACTATTTTTAGCAGACAAAAAAAGTATCCAGAACTAAGTATAAAATGTATAAATATTTTTGACTTGAACATTCAGATGGCTCTGGGTGCAAATAGAACATTCATCCTCCCGACAGGATGTTTGGAGCGGAGACTTAAAAAGGAGATGGTTGTTTTACAGGATCTGTTAGGGGTTAGAGCAGTACTGTAACTCACGACTGTTAAAAAATAAGTTAATAAAGGAGATGTTCCTGTGCTGTAAGGAGGGCTTCACAGAACCACTGACTTAGGTTCAGCCACTAAGGATGCTGGCTTTTCATTTTCCTTTGAGGAGGAGGAAGCCTTTGTTTTGTCCTTCCTGTGTCCTTCCTCCTCCCTTTCTGTGCTGTTATCGTAGTGACCAGACTGTTAACTTTGTAGCCATGGCTGACAACATTGTATCAGTAACTAAATGAGCACCGCATGTGCGTGCAATCAGGGGAAGGTGGAAGGCCATGACTGCCGGGCAAAGATGTCACCGTTAATTGTAAAGCGCTTTGTAAAATTCACATTTACAAAATAATAAAGTCAGTTCAAACCCATGGTTCTGGGCTTTGCTTGGCCAGTGAGGCCAGGGAGAATGTGCAGAAGTCAAAGACGGACTGGGTGGTAGCGCCTGTGGCCACGCATGCCAGAGGGTCCCTGTTTTGGGATCCAGGCCGCTGCAGCCCTTCAGGGGCAAGAAAGGGCCATCCCCAGGCTGGCTCAGACAGAGGGATCTGACTGGGGTCCAAGGCTGTCTGACCTCTCCCTAGTGACCACAGGGGAAGCAGACAGGTGGGTGGGAGGCTCTGGGGGTGTGCCCATGGCCCCCAGGGACGCCAGGGGCTCATGGTTGTACTGTCTATAAAGTAAGACAGTGCCATCCTCTGGCTGCCCTGCCACCCCAGGTGGAGGGGGACTCCTTGAGGTGGGCAGAGCCTTCCTGGTGTGACCAAGCCCCAAGGCCAGGCTGGTGCCCACTCTGTCTCTCCAGAGAGTCCTCAGAGCCTGGAGCTAGGTCTCTAGGCTTAGGTCTCGCCGTAGGTCCTGGGCTTCTTGCACTTTGGATATCACCCGCCTGGGGCCTGGGGCCTGGGGCCTGGGGCCTGGGGCCTGGGACCTGGGGCCTGAGGCCTGGGGCTGGGGCTGGGTCCAGGTCCTTTCTGCCACTGTCCTGAGCCCTCCCAGAGCCATTTCCCATCCCCAGGGAGGTGGCATGCTTTGGGTCCCCAGGAGAGGGTCCACTGGAGCAGGAGCCCACACTGCAGACACTTGGGGCAGAGGAGAGATGTTTCAGCTCAGGGCCTCTGCGTTGCATGACCCTGCCCCAAGAGAACAGAGATGCTGGGACAGGGTCACCTGAGCCCCCCCCCCTATAGGACTCCAACATCACAGTGTCTCTACCCAGAAAGCCAAGTCCTGGGTGCCAATGGCACCCCCAAGCCTGCCTGTCCTCTACCCAGCCCCAGGGCTCAGGTGAGTGCATCCATGTCCTATTAGGCTGCCCACACAGGCGTATCTCACTGGGCCAGGTGGGCTCTAACCCTCACCCAGCAGGCAGGGAGCTCGGGAGACCCCACCCTGGTGGGTTCCAAGCCCCCGGCAGCCAGGACAGCTGAGGCCCAGGTAACTGGGGGTAGGGCCAGTCTGAGGGTATCTCAGCTGGGACCCAGGAATCCCAGCTCTGGAACCACTTGGCCCACCCTAAACAAGCTCCCAGTCTTCCTGGCTTTGCAGAAATGGGTGCTGACAGTTGCCACCCAAGCTCTGTGCCCACCTCTTCCCTCAGTCTGACTGTGGACACAACGCCTCCTGCCCTTCACCCTGGTTGCTGGGAGGGGGGCAATCAGCAGGACCTAGGGGCTCAGAGCCTCTGGAACGGAGCCCAGTGTGGCCCCACAGAGCAGGTCATCCTGCTGGTGGCCCCTCCCTCAGGTTCCACCCTCGGCCACAGCTCCTCACCCACCCAGGAGACAGAGAATCCACACTGATGAGCCTGAGCCCTCCTAGGGAGAGGCAGAGCTGAGCGAGGGGCAGGGCCCATCCGCCCTGCCTCACGTCCTCCCTTTGGGAGGCCAGGTGAGTGGTCACAGGCCACTGAGGGACCACTGGAGGTGAGGGGGTTGGGGTGGCAGTAGGAGCCTGCCTTGTCCACTCTGCCTGCAGGCCCAGATCTCAGGGCCCGGGAACCACTGTCCTACCCCAGCCAGGACGGTGGGAGGGGGTGGCAGGTGGTGGACCCTGAGTCTGGTGGGCTGCAGCCCTCAGAGAATAAGAGGGTCTGGAGCAGCTTAGTCCCTGCCCACAGGGGCCCAAGCCATTACACTCCCTAAGTCTGGCATCCTTAAGTACCTGAGAGGGGACAGAAGGGGCCTGGGATAGCGGCATGGGAAATTCAAAGCATGCAGCCACCTGGGGTGTAGACCTGGAACTGGGGTCTGCCTTCCCCTGGGGGTCTTTGTGGTGGGGTCCTCCTAGCCCTGCAGGACCCAGCTGTCTGAGAGGCCACTCTGGGTGGTCCAGGGTCCCTCAGCATAGTGTCCCCAGCCTCCTTTCCAGGGGCTTAGCTGCAGGTGACAGTTTGGGATCTTAGGGGGCACTCAGGCAGAGACAGTGGGGATGCCAGCACCCCTAGAGCAGAGATATGGCCTTGAGAGCTGGTCCCAGTCTCCTGGGGCCTCACTGGCAGACAGCTCCAGGCATGGATGGGGGATGGGCCATGCTGCCTTTGCTGTAGAGAGTTCCAGAAGGGGCAGCTGAGCAGGCAGGGCTGTGCCTGTCTCTATCCTGGTCCATCAGGTAATGTGGGACAGCAGTGATCGAAGGAGGAGACGTCTGTCTGTGCCCCTTCTGTGTATCCACCATGGCAACTGGGGGCAGGGGGACAGCCCAGGTCCACTTCCCTTGGCCCAGTGGGGCACAGAGGGCAGACATCCCTCAAGCATGCAGGTGAAGGCCCCGCCTGGGAGAGAGGTCCCAGGGCACGCCCCAGACCTCAGCCTCCATCTCCCCCTGTCCTGGTCTTTGTCCCCAGCACCTCCCCCCCACTTCCCCTGTGTGTGGCGCATGACCCAGCTGGCTACAAGGAGTGCTGGAGACGCCAGTTGTGCCAGGGCGACACCAGGGATCTTCGCTCCCCACGCTGCAGAGGAGCCTCTTTCCCTACATGGTCTGCTTCCCAAAAGTTGCACCCCAGGACAACTTGTGTTAGACAACTCCCAGTCTTCCTGGCCCACAGCACACAGAAGAACCCACATTTGGGCAGCAGGAGGGCTGGGGTTGTCAGCCTCACCTTATGCTGGGTCTGAAGCCAGGGGAGGTGGCAGTGGTGGCCTGGGCTTGTGCCTTCTTCCCCAGAACAGGGAGCCTCACATCCTGCAGGCCACACTCAATCTCCTGGATGCACCACTGTCACCGGAATCACCGGGAGAGTGTGCAGAGGCAGCACCCAGATGACCCTGGAGCACCTTCGTGATGCTGGCTCTTCGTGAGCCTGCCTGGCTCCATGCCTCAGTTTCCCCAAGTTCAGATCACTGATTGCCAACACTGCACACCCTGCTAGGATGCATATCTGGTTCTGAAGGGCAGGGGTGGGCCCAGGGCTCTGCACTCTTCTGTCATTCTGTGTTCTTTGTGAGACCCAGCAGCCCGGGCCAGGGTCCTCCAGAGGGCATACCGAGCTGCAACCTTGTAGGGTGTAGACGTGTGCACAGGGGCCGCATGGGTGAGGGTGTGGACAGCACAGTGAGAAAGGTGAACTCGGGGGTCCCGAGTCTCTGGGTACTGGATACCGAAGCCTCGCAGCCGTCTTCATTCAGGGCAGGAGACAAAGCCCAGGGCCTGGTGTGTGCCAGGCGCATGCTCCTCCACTGAGCCACCCCTGCCTTCCACAATGTTTCCCTTAGTTTCCCCCACTGGCTTCAATCTTCCGATCTTCCTGTTTCAGCCTCCCAAATGGAGGCTTGCTCCACCACATCTGGCCCTCAGCGCTATTCTCAGGGCCCACCGTCCCAACCGATGTGACCTGGGGTCCCAATATGCAAATGCCTGGGTTCCCGTGTGGCCCCTAGCTTTGCTTTGCGGGCTCACTCTTTTTTTTTTTTTTTTTTTGTCTTTTTCCTTTTTATCGGTACCCAGGATCGAACTCACGAGTGCCTGCTTGCAAGGCAGGTGCTTATGCCGCTGAGCTAAATCCCCAGCCCCATGCGGGCTCACTCTTGTGTAGGGGGTACGGGTGTGTGGGTTACCTTCATCCACCTTCCTGCCAACACCAGGGCACAAATTGGGTGGAGGTCAGTGGGGGAGGGGCTGCCCTGTGAGCAGGCAGCCTAGGTTCCACCCTGAGCTCTGGGAAAATAAAAAAAGAAAAGAAATCATACTCTGCTCTGCTTTTTAGAGTCTTTGCCCCCCCCCCATAAAAGACCCAATCAGAAATGGCAGCTGAGCAGACTTCTTGGAAGAAGGGCAAATGGCCGCTAAACACTAAACCCATGAAGCAAGACTCAGCGCTGCCCAGATGCAAATCAAAGTTTTGCAGAGATCCATCCCCCCCCCCAAAGAGTGGCCCTGGAGAGGAAATCGAATCACAGGGATGGCGGGAGGGGTCGTGGGGAAAAGCAGACCTTCTGCGCCTTGGTGGGAACAGCCACTGTGGGGAGTCCTCAAAAACCTTCATGCTCTGTGGAGGTCGCAGGGTCTCTGGGTTCATTCTGCTTTGTGAACCCCCGCAAGCTGCCCAGCCGTGTCACTGGCACATGGGTGCTGGGTCACCCACACCACCTTCGCCCCCCACGTGGCAGGAACGTGGCTCCCCTCTGGGGACAGCAGGGTGTGGAGACCTGGCTGGGCAGAGCATCCTTGCCCCAGTCCTTCGCTCTAATCCAGTTCCTGTAGACTCGGAGCTGCTGATGGGGGAATGCTGCAAGGGGTTGGGGGGACACGAGGGGCCTTGGGTGCTGGGAGGCCAGCCTCAGGCCTGGGACGCAGCAGACTGGAAGCAGCTGGGCGGGCAGGGTCAGGTTTGAAGACTCCGGGAACACAGAGCGGGCAGAGGGACGCAGTGTGGACCGTGGTGGCCACACAGGGTGGGTGAGGGGCGGCCTGGCTGTGGAGGAATGGGGTCCCCAGCCCCTGCAAACACATGGCAGAGAAGCAGGGCACCCCCTCCTGCGGGAACTCATGCATGGTTAGGCCTGAAGGCCACTTAGCCTCATGCAACTGGTGCAGGTGCCCGGGGCCCTCTGCGCTTGATCCTTTGATGATCACTGTACAGAGCACTAACTGCTGGAAATACCATTCCTGGAACAGAGGTGGATGCAGGGCCCATCAAGGTGGAGATCAATGTGATTGGGGCAGTCAATTACTGCCAGGACCCAGCTGTGCTATGGCAGGAAACCAACTCGGCAAGAACAGGGGAAACGGGGAACACTGGCTAGGGGGCCGGTGATCAGGCCTGTGGCCCAGGTTGGCGACTGGGCAGGGACTGTCCCCGCCTGACTCAAGCCTCGCCCCTGTTCCCACTCAGCCTGGCCCCGTTTCTCCTCTGTAAGGTAGGGAGGTG